AGGAATAAACTTAAAATCAGCAAAATTTTCGCGCCTTTTGACAACTAGAAAAAGTCCCTCATGCGCAAACGCACTTCTAAAGGTGCGCTCAAGGTGTCGTCAAATAATTATTGTTCTGGGATAGCTTTTATATAATCCGAATCCAAGAACCGAGAACACTTCTAATAGGACTTTTTATTGAGCTGAAATTATCTGCCATGTCGTTCTCACTGTGTCAGCCTCAGCCTGGATCAATGAACTATAACCAAGAACTGGAATGCGCATATCCGCCAAAAAGTCAAGCCAATTAACAAAGACTGATGCCACAAGGGGGAATGTTGTTTCTTTTTTGTCGCTCGCTGACATATGACGTTTTGGAAAATTTCGTTATATATTCACCTACACAGGTGTTATTAATTGAAATACGCGTCTTGAAATCAATTTCCGTTAATGAGTGCGACAAAAACAGGCATCCCCTCCGCAGCAGCGGCACTAGGCTTCACTTCCGTCAATATTTGTGCGCATTCCAATTCTTAGTTATAGTTTATTAGCGATTCGGGATTGATAAGATTACACTAGTTATTGTAGCGCCATCTCTTATTGAGCTATAAAACTTCAGAAAATTACAGTCACCTCACCACATTTGGCGCGGGGGTGAAGGGGGAATTTGTTACACACAGCAAGCCTTTATTAGTGTGTATCAACCTTGGTTTATATCATTCAGCATCAAGGCAATGTTGAAAAATATATCGTGACGGATTTTCGTATCGCTAGCTCGTGTATCACGCACGGCCTTGAAATTTTACTCCCAGCGTACGGTACGTTCGGAAGTTCTTTAGCTGTAGGTATAACAACCGCAGCTATTTCAGAGGTCGAAACGTCGTAATTATTGAAAATAAATGTGATACAAGTCTTAAGCCTAGTACTCATAACTGCGAAATTCGTATTTTTTTGACATTGCGTTGACAATTTGACGTTTGATACACGCATTAAACGTCAAATTGTCAACGCAATGTCAAAAAAATGCGAATTTCGCAGTTATGAGTACTAGGCTTAAGGCCGGATTTTCATGCATCCGTTTTCCGACGAAATATGTCCGAAAAATCTTCTATTTTGACATATTTTTATACGATTATGTCAGAATAGAATGTTTTTCGGACATCTTTCGTCGGAAAAACGGATGCATGAAAATTAAGCTAAGTGTCCATCCGTCCCGATTAAAGCTTAGTACTCATAACTGCGAAATTCGCATTTTTTTGACATTGCGTTGACAATTTGACGCTTTATGCGTGTATCAAACGTCAAATTGTCGAAGCAATGTCAAAAAAATGCGAATTTCGCAGTTATGAGTACTAGGCTTTACGCGGGACAGTCCCGATTTCGAGCTACGAGTCCCGATTTATTAAAGCGTCCCGCTTTTGTCCCGCTTTCAATAAATTCCAACTAAGTTCGTTTCACGAGGGTTCATACTTTTGACATCGAAGGAAGACATCATGAGAGGGTTGTAGATTAATTTATATGACACATTAATTTTTTTTTGACAAATTAAAATGAATGACTTCGTTTGAGAACCGACGAACGTTTTTGACGTCATTGATTGGTTTGTGTCAGTCAATTCCTATTTATTGAAAAAGGAAGGTAAATTATGTCAAAAGTATAAACCCTCGTGAAGCAAAGTGTATCAACTTTTTATATAAGTTTTGGCAGATCTCAGAGCTCACAATAGTCACAAGCATTAACGTCATTTTGCAGAATTGTTTATAGCTAATGATCGTAAATATTTGCCAAATCGTAATTAGAAACAGCTACGCAAAATTAAAATTTGCGATTCGGACCTACAAAAAAAAATATGTGTACAGGGCTTTAGAACCTTATTATTGGCGTGTAAGGATATTACACACTACACTGGGATAGGTATATAGCTGAGCAAGGACGTATAAGGGGGGTTTGGGGGTTCTAACCCCCCCATTGAACTGAATTTTTTTTTTTTTTTAAGAAAAATAAACGTTTTTGGGCGTGGAATCCAAAAAATATTTTCGCCTTCGGCGATAGCCTCCAGCGACTATGCCACTGTAGGGTTGATGAAAAATATTATTTAATTTTGATTTACATAATAGGCAATGAGGAAGATGCAGACGAGATCTGAACAGGGTTCTTTTAAAATGTTAATTAATGTACTAACACAAGTATGTACAAAGCAAAAGCCAGGGAAATGATAGCCTGTGGTGCAAACCCCCTTCGTCGAAACGAGAATCGACGCGATTCTACGTCATAACTGGTACTTTGGCATAGTGCAGTGGGGGCTTGAGTTTTGAACTACACAGGCCTCATGAGGATAGGCTATCCTGTGTAGTGTGTAGTATCCTTGGATCTCCTTCTCCAACTGACTCAACTAATCCAAACTAACCCAACATCAAGTAACAGTAACATCCGGAGATGCCGGAGGGGACTTTGTGTATAGATATAATATAGTAAAGTGTAATGCATCTGTTATCAGATTTGAAGGATTTTTCTTTCTCATTTTTCTTTCAATGAACCTTTTTTTTTCCCCAGTTCAACTTATTTTCAAAGGTGGCGTCCCTATATGCCAGGTACATCGTCTGATCTAAAATTGAAACCCTTCCCAGACCACGAGCCGCCACTGCTCTAAACCCCCCCATGAAAAAGCTATAGCTACGTCGTTGTAGCTGAGGATCAAGGATCAAAGGTCCAAATTCAAACAAGGTTGGCAAAGGACAAGGTTCTGGCCTATCCTCATTTAACACGTTGACTGCCGATCACTCCGATCGGAGTTTACTGGCACCAATCGGCGACGCCAAGTACTCCGATCGGCGTGTTGTGCATGCTCAATTTGTGAGTCTATATTCAGAAGGCGTTGGCGAGAGAATGTCGCAGTCGCTCCTGCGTCCTTCTAAATACATTTGTCCAACACGTGTTTTAGTTGGTTACGCGTTTTTTATTTTTTGTGTCGCCAAACATGGATATCAAACAAAATGAATAAAACTTGACGGCGTTTGAGAATGCCTCAAAAAAATGGTCGGCAGTCAACGTGTTAAGCATCAAAATCTCAAATCCCCCACCATGCCAAAGTACCAGTGATGACGTAGGCAGCGTGTCGTTACACTCGTTACTCCCCTTAGGAAGTTTGTACCAAAGGCTATGATTCCGCTGGCTTATCAAAACCTGGGAACCTACTATGTAGAAAAAGGGGAAGCACAATAAATAGCACAATAGATCTATTCATGTCGCAGTGTAGAGAGGTCCATCACCTAAACGCCCCTAACACAATCTAATCTGTTTCAATCTAACTACTACCGCTGGCGCAAACAGCTAACGACACCGTAGATGACGTCGGCAAGGGTGTAACACCATATAACCTTGATACCAGAAATCGAGGCTGATGAGCAATCCTGTAGTAGTGTGGAATATCCTTGATTGGGTGGAGTGGTGTAGTGGGATTTTTAGCGAACTTACAGCAAAGGAAGGATCATTTTAACGTCGATAATTAAAAATCATAAATCAGTAACCAGTCAGGGGGGCTTTATTTGAAATTGATGCAACTTTGCGTAGACGCAATTAACGTCATTCGTGATTGAAAATTGGTGAACAGCTTATTTCAAATGCACTTTTTCAATCGAAACTGACGTCATCTGCGTCATATTTGCGTCTACGCAAAGTTACATCAATTTCAAATAAAGGCCCCCAGAGCGTTTTGGATTGATGCAAATTGCCAACACAACTAGTTTTCAACCACTGAAATTTTGCTCTGACTGGTTTAACCCTTTTCACGTGGCTCCGGTTTAACAAACCGCAACATACCGCTCTAATTCGAGTGGTAGGTATCCACACGTCACTTTGTAACCGGGTTAGAAAACGGTATGCGGTATATCATTTCTCTAACCGTTTTGTAACCCGATTAGTCAAACCGGAGCCACGTGAAAAGAACTTTTGTGTTTGCTGGCATTCGCACCACTGCAGAAAGGAAAGAAAGAAAAGAAGTGGCGACCAGCTTTTGGATATTTCCGAATGCGCTGGAGGTAAACTGCCCCTGCGGGAGCAGACACCAATAATCTGGAGAAGAAAGAAAACGACCAATCAATACCAACAATCAGAAATGCTTTACTTTACTAACTCAAGAACACTTAACTAAATAGGACTGGTTATTGAACTGAGAGTATCTGCCATGTCCACGCGCTACGCGATATCTGCCCACCATTTGCGACCCAGGGAGTGTACCCGCACCGGAACGATATTAAACCGAAAACCGGAACGGAACAGTTTTTTTTTACAAACCGGAACGAAACCCGTATTTCATAGAAATGCTGTGAGGCAGGCAGAACCGGAACCGATATAAATTAATCGATTCACTTGTATTTTTCGGTTTCAAGATTTCATAAATTAGGCTGTTTGCTCGTATCGTCATAAATTTAACACTCCAAAAAACAGAGCGCTTAGTCACCCCCGGGTGAAAAAATTAAGTCACAAACACAGCCTTAACCGCAAGCAATCCATCGAGGTTTGCGGGTGACGTCACCTTTGTCAGTTGCTGAAATAATGTTGACGTCACCCGCAGACTAGGTGCCGACCCGAGAACTGGCGAACGTACGCCGTATTAGGTTGAGCAATCAACATTGGAGTAATCCTATTGAGTGGAGTATTCTTGCTTGTATATTCTAAACAAACTACGACCGCTGGTGCAAACAGCTAACGACACCGTTGATAACGGTGCAACGGTTCCGGATCGATTCTGAACCGGTTCTATACCAGAATTTATCAGGATCGATAAGTTCGAGACATGCTCAGTTTCATGCATTGGGTACCGAATTTTTGTTTCCTGTTCCGAAATCTGGTTTGGAATGTGCCTGCAAATAAAGCTGTCGAAACGGATGTGAGTTCCACTAGTATTGCTCCGAAGTCAATAAAGGAACAGTTCGGAGCAATGAGAGCATATAAATTGAAGAGTTTAGCATCATCGACGTCGCAAGTCAAATCGTGACGTGTGAGACACTTTTCAAACAGAAGCAGCTGTCAAAATTTGGCGCCAAAGTTTATTATTAAAGTGTAAATAAATTGTGTTTTGCTCTTTGGTGTTGAAGCTAAATGCTTCATTTGAATACTTTTATCTTTACAATTCTTCCTTTCGATTGCTCATTTAACAATATCCTAATCGTTTGCAAAACATATTTTTATCAAGGGGCACCTTGGAAGTCCCAAAATGAATATAATTCATGAACCTCTACGATATGCCCACGAAGAAGGACACACGGACGTTTGTTATTCAGTCGATGGACAGTAAGCATCTAATTCATCTACTTTTGTTACCAAACTACTTATTACTAATTATTTGTAGGAATTTTATAACATGTGGATCAGACGGTGATATCCGAATATGGTCAGTAGACGAGGGCGAAGACCCACATCATACTTGCATAGGAGAATGGGCATTGAGTGTTCGTCAAAAGGGTGATAAGATTTACGTATCAACTGGTAGCAATGAAATTCAAATATTGAGCCTTCCTGAAGGAGAACGAGATGGGGTACTTACTAGAGCTACAGATCCTTTTAATCAGATTGCACTTTGTAAAAATAAGAATGTAAGAATCACTACATATTTTGAGATTTACTCGATGAATTCCTAAATATTGTTTAACAGTTTGCAGCTTTGGCTGGTGAAGGAATGGAAGTGAGCATAATGGATTTAGAAACAAACACACTAAAAACATCTTTCAAAGAGCTTGGAGGTCCTTGTTTGAGTGTGGCAATATGTCCAAATGCTGTTAAAGTAGCCGCTTCTACAGGAGATGGCAAATTGCATATCTGGGACATTGAATCTAGCATGTTACTTAAAGAACTGACATGTTTTAGTAAAGTTAATAGTTTTGCTAATGCTAAAAATCTTTGTAAGCACCTCAAACAATCTATGTAAATATTTGTTTATTAAATTATTGCTTAGGTCGTCTAGAATTTGATCCAAAAGATGGTTCAACTTTAGCCTACCCAGAGAAAAACACTATAAAACTATTAAACACAAAAAATTGGGCAGAAGAAACATTAAATTGTAACGAAATCACTGCTGACTTTTCAATTTTAAATTACTCTTCTTGCGGAAAATATTTAGCAGCCGCTAGTGTAGAAGGGGATTTTGTTATTTGGGAAACTGGAAATAAAAATGTCTTTAAAGTAACTAAACATGAAAGTTCTAAGGCTATTTGTGGACTTATGTGGAATCCTACAGGTTTGTATTATTTCAATCATAATATAGATTTTACATTCAAACTTGCTTCTAGGAAATGGAGAAATTGTTTATACGGATATAGAGGGTCAATTGAGTATTATGTCACATTGTGCAAGACTGCAGAGGGTAGATGTAGAAAAAAAAGATGCAATCGTTGATGAGCATGGATTTGAAGAAAATGAAGTTGATTTTGGTGATATGATTGAGGATAATGAAATTGATTCAGTTGTGAGGGATCTTGATCGGCCTACTAGTGAGTTGGAGTTTAAAGGCTCAAGTAGCAAAAGTAAGTGACAACTCACACTGCAAATCACATTTGAAGTCACACAGAAGTTTTCAATTATTAATACAGAATCTCACTAAAAATATTTCTTTATTTAGGTTCCTCAAGGGCCAGTAGCCCCTCAAGACCGCGCACACCTGAAATTCCTCTACAAGCCTCATTCATGCCAACTTCTTCACCAGATCACTTAGATCCTAGATATCTTTGTTGGAACGATATTGGAATAGTAAAAAGCTACGGCGGCAATAACGCTGGGGATGATGTTGGTTCAAAAAGCATTGAAGTTGAATTCCACGATACCAGTTTTCACAATAGCATGATGTTGCAGAATTTTCAAGAATATACTATGGGGTCCATTGGCAAAGGGGCCTTGGTGGTTGCCAATTCAAGGTAAAAACTTGTTTATTTGATTTCTTGATATTTCCTTACTACACAAAATGAGATTGATAATGTTCGGATATCAAATTATTAAGCATGATTAATATGTAATTATTGGTGTTGTTTTTACAGTCAAATTATGGTTATACCTTTAGCAGTAGGCAACAAAGAATGGTCCTTAAAAGTTGAAGAATATGAAGACATTATTTTAGTAGCAGCCTCAGAAAACTTGGTATGTTTTGCAACCACTAACTACCTAGTAAGAGTTTGTTCAATTTTTGGAACTCAAAGGGCGATGGTATCAGTTCCTGGCCCTTTAGTCTGTATGTCTGCATTTAAAAATGTTTTAATGGTTGCTTATCATGCTGGAGGAATCAGAAATGGGGATCAGTGTATTAATGTGAAACTGTTCAAGTTTGAAGGTAAGTGTTTTACCTCAAACTGATGTGATGATGTAAAATGATTGTAAAATTTTAGGATTAAATGTGGAATGTCTGGAGTTGGGATCTGCCTTAGGGCCGGAATCAACTTTATATTGGTTAGGGTTTTCTGATGTCGGCACACCTGGCATGATGGATTCATTGGGTATGCTAAGTCTGTTCCCTCCTAAGTGTAATACTTGGATACCATACTGTGATACTACTAAACATGTAAGATTTATTTTTTCCTTTTACTATAACGGGAAGTTTAGAAAAACATTTTGAGAGGTTTAGAATGGGTAAAAATTTGGCTGCAGTTGATACAAGTTGGTTTTTTAATTTTGCACTGGTGCGCATGAGTACTGGAAATATGAAAAAAATCCAAAATGTATGAACTGGAAGGGTTGTCATTATGACGTATAGAAATGGTCTAATATTTCCAAACACGAAAAATTTACAATATTTACTACCTGGGTCTATCAGCCCCCCTATAAATCTTGAATACACATTATAACATTTTTTAAAGCTTGTTCTAAATTACATAATTCCCCACTTCCCTGTACTAGACTTGAGAAAGCTGGTTGGGGAGTTAAGTGTCGAGTGTTAAATTATAACTTAGACCTTAGATTCCAGCAGACAAATAGCAGTCATAATAATAGTATATTATTTACTTTCAGCGTAAAAATCCAGGCGATGCATTTTTCGTAACAACAGTTTTTGAATCCTATCAAGCAATAGGCGGTATCCGCTGTAAAGGTACCATTTATCCAAGTTTCATTCCACGCCCCACAGTTTGTGAACTACCAATCAATGCACCATTTGCTGAAAGCAGTACTGACAAAACCCAAATGGAAATGGACATGTTCAGTTGGTCCAATTTGAATATTATGGATACTGATAGGAAGTATAAAGAAACTGCTTTGAAGATATTTGCTGTAAGATTTCATTACTTTAATAAAAATATATCTTCAGTAATTTACTACTGTTTCAGTTGGCATGTAAAAATGACTTGGACCAACGTGCGTTTGAGTTTATGCAAATTATAAGCAACCAGCAAATATTAAATTTAGGTCTCAAATATACAACAAAACTGAATAAGAAACGTTTAGCGGACAAGTTAATAGAGCTAGCTTCAAGATTGCAAGAAGATGGTCAAGAAGAGGAAGAACCTTCTAGGACGTTTCATAGTGGTGCTGCTGCAACAGAAATATCTACTCCTGAAGTAGTAATCAAACCGAAACCTATGAAATTCAGACTTTCAAAATCAACTCATAAAATTAGCACACCCCTAAGGAAACAAGTAAAAATTGATTTTTTCTATTATGGTTTTTAGCATTTACAATTTTAATTTTTAGGAGACTGAAACAACTGAGGAAACCACAAATCAAAGCACCAATGAAAATAATTTATCTGCTATTAATACACAGGTATTTAGTTTTGTTTTCTTATCAACAATACAAACGTTAATTTGTTTTTTCTTTTAGGAATCTCTGTTTTCCGAAGCTCAATCTTTCACAGAAGAACCGAGCCAACCAAAGAACCCGTTCCTAAAAAAGCCAGAAATCAAACCCAATGAAGATTTAAATGCCACTCCTGATACTACTCTGAGTTGGTTATCTGGCAATCCGTTTTTGAAAAAAGCCAAAAAGCCTAGCCAAGCTAGTCCATTAAGTTTAACTGATAAATTTGCTGGTGTGGATTACAACAAACCAGAAACCAAACAGCAAAATGTTGTAGAGGTATATATATTTTTTTTTTCTAATAACATCTAATAATTGTTATATTCAGTTCAAGTTTATTTTGCATCTGGTCCTCATTGGAAATTTCACTCACTCACCTGTATGATAATCACATAACATGTTCAAATTATAGAAGGATGATGAGTCAAATTTCCAAGAAGAACCAGATGTAAAAAAAGGAATGAAATATAGTTGTTTTTTTTTTTTTTAATTTTAGGCTGCCGAAAAGAGAAAACTTTCCCCTGCTGCTGAAAAACCAATAGAAAAACAGCGGAAGCTGGATAAATTCATGTTCTCAAAAAGATAACCAGTTTTGTATTTATTATTCAATTATTAAAAGCCTATTGACTTAGGTAGGTATTTAATTATTTTTGTTGTGTGTAAAACTTTTAAAGAAAACCATTTATAAAAATTCAAATTTTTAAAAAATTTCTAAAATGTGTGTAGATCATAACGAAACATCATCTAATCAATTAATGAAAAGAAAAACAATTAAAATGACTCGCCCTTGTCGGCTATTTGTGTATGATTTTCCAGTACATACCCATACCCAACAACAAAGTAAGACCCAACTGAAACAGTTTGGATCTCATAATTTTGAACAAAACATTTAATTTTAATAAGGGGCTGGTCTTCATCAGTAACGGGGCTTTGAGTGGTTAAATGTTTCTTCAATTCAAGAAAACATCGAACAAAATTCGACCAAAAGGCAAGAGATAAAAGTTAGATTACCTACTAATACTTAAAGAAGCTAGGACTTAATCAAAGAGCCGATATTCATAGAAAAAATATACAACTTTTTCACAATCTTCTCTTTGTATTGAGAGTCTTTGCTGTCATCTTCAAAAACTCGCTGTGGCAGAACAGTTCTTAGAGTGTATTGTTTTGCAAACCCTTTGAGCAATACAACTACACGAACCAATACCTACAACCACTATAATTTAATTTGTAAGAACATAGGTACTTTATTTCCACATCCTTAAAACATAATCAATCCTACATTGAGATTCATTCGAAGTCGGTAATAGCAAAGGCAGGTCCATTTTTGGTTCCAAAGAGTTTAATCAAATCTTGGTTTGGTAAAAAGCTCTTAAGACATGGATGGTTAGGAAATCGTTTGTTGGAGGCAGCCTAGATAACTCCGTGGAAGAGGCCATTAAAACCCTTAGGGGTCTTAGGTAATACAATTATGTCACTTCAAGAAATACTTATGGTTAAAGTCTACTTAAATGAATGGATGCGAACAGCCATAAAAGGGAAAACATATGGGATGTTAGCGAATACAATTTTATCACAAATTTTTCAATTATAATTAAAGGGGGGTAACCTTAAAATACAACTTGTATTCAGAAAATAAAGAAAAAAATTCTCAGAACTCTTGTGAAAATCTCACACCATCCAGTGATAGGAGTCAGAACGCAAAAACAACACTAATAATTGTCGATGATACAGTGTGTCCCGCTTAAGGACTGACCACCCTTCTAAATTTTTTATTTTTTAAACGATTCAATTCATTTTTTTTTTGTCTTGTATCTACTCGAATTTGACAGTTATTAGGCTCATAATTTTATTTCTGCAGCTGTACCTACTGGTGTACAGGGTGTCCATATTTATAGATTCAAATTTCTATTAGGGATTAAAAAAAAAAAATCTGATAGCAGATTCTTGTTTGAGGGTGATCACAGCAAATTTTCAAAATTTATTGGACCAAATACTGCCAGAGTGTCTCTGACGAGCCAAACCGCTCAAAAGATGCCGCAAATTACGAGAATACTGATCAGGGAATTTTTAAGATATGTGTGCGGCAGTGTGTTGGAATTCAGATCAGTGGCGGATACAGGGGGGGGCGCGGGGGGCGCGCGCCCCCCTTGAGAGTCTCAAAAACTACTAAAATTAAAAAAAAAAAATCATAGATACAAAAATTTTATGGAAGACTTTTCCATTAAAAGTTCATGGAAAAATTTTCCAATAAAATGTTTTTTTTTTTCCAAGCTACACTATTGTTCAATTTATTGTTTTGTTTTTATCAGATAAATGTGTTATATTTTTATTTGGAATAGGTATTTTTATTTGTTATTGTCGGTTTATTGATATGTGCAGGGTTGTCCAATTTGGATACTTTTGATAGAAAACGTCAATTTCTGAGCGAGACACAAAAAAAATCAACCCTCACTCTGTTGCTCAAATTTTATGATATTTTGAACCATTTTGTGGCTAGAGAATCCAGTGACTTTCTCAGTTTTTTTCTATTTGTTCCCAAATTCAAGATATTAACCAGAGTCCGATCGTTTTGATAGGAGACCGGACACCCTATATATTAATAACTGTTCGGATAGCTCTGCTTTCGCTGCTTTCAATGATATAAAGTTCGATAGGTTTATCTCTAACAGTTTTCCAGAAAAAAACATTATATCTGTTTCTGTCATAAGAAACAATGGGTTAAAAGAGGACTTTATATCTATAAGGAAAATGAGATAGGTCTCCTTCTAACACAATGGGTGTGTTCCAAGGGCCACAACCGTTGAGACCACTTAGTGAGCGTAACGTTCCAAGTGCCATAACCTTGAAGGCTCAGTCTCAGCGGCTGGCTATTTCGCTGAGCGGAAAAATTTTATGCTCACCGCCGTTAAAACAGTTGTGACATGCGCACAACTGCTGTTTTTGTTTTTCTGGACATAACCTCATTTTAATTTTCGGGTTTTGTGGCAGTCGGCAGTAGTGATGAACTAATTCCTCCATTCTAACAGCTCTTCAACAGCATAGAAGTGGCACCAAACCAAACAAATTACTAAGAATAAAATAAATTACCATACCGACAACATGTAAACAAAAACAGCTGTAGGGATAACTGACAGTAAGCGCCGGAAAATTAAGCGGAGCGTTCCAAGCGCTTACAACTGTTGAGCGTGAGCTTTTTCCTGCTCAGTTCAGCAGCTTACGGCCATTTGCACCGCTATAACTTAAGGGATATTTAATCTAAGTGGAGCTTTGAATGTGATTCTCGTAGAAACAAAAGTCACATTTAAAAGCTCCACTCAAATTAAATATCCCTTAATATCCCTTAAAGGGGGTGTGCGCCAAAAAAACAACTTCATCTCAAGAAAAAGAGAAAAAAAATCTAAGAATAACAGTGAAATCCGCACCCCTCTATGAGAAATAATACCGCAGATATGGCTCTATGAAGGTACCGCATCTCACCCTATGACGTCACGAAAGCTCAAGCGACCCACGAGAAAGTGGATTTAATTAAATTTACATAATGTTTTTCCTGTGTTACCTGCAATAATCTAAACAAAAACCACTCACGCGTGTAGGGCACAATCAAATTAACAATGCAGAGCACCGCTGGACGAAGTTTTCGTGACGTCACGAGAGCGTCGTCCACACTTTAAAGCGGCATATCTCAGCGATGGTTTATCGTAGAATGACCGAGGTTTGAACAGTTATTCTTAGATTTTTTTACACTAAAACATTAATTTTTGGCGCACACCCCCTTTAAGTGATAGCGGTGCAAATTGCCATTAGTCACCCAGAACGCGCCCATTGTTTCTTTTGACTGAAACATCTATAGTTTTTTTTCTTGATAACTGTTAGAGACAGACCTATTAAACCTTAAATGTATCATTAAAATAAGCAATAATATTTCAATTGGATTGCAGGTGGTTTAATAGAGATAGCATCTAATCCACCTGCAAGCTAATGCACGGGCTACGTAAATCACCCTGTAGACCTAGAGTTTTTTAATTAAAAACAATAATAATTGAGTACATCATTGAATTATGCTTGGAAAAGTACCTCTAGAAAGTTTATACAGATAGGTATCAATTATTTTCATAAATAAAAAAGTTATGGAAAGTTTCATCTTTTAGCTCAAAATCGAGAAACATCCCCTAGCGGCCAAACGGTTGAGGGTATCAAAAGGCGGTTTGCAGTGTTTGCACCAATCAAGATTTTATGAAATATAAGCTTCAGCAGAGTGGGGGGTTCATTTTTTGTAACTGGCTCAGAAATTGACGTTTCACATCAAAAGTATCCAAATTGGACCAGCCTGTACCTACATACTTTAACGTATAAGTAAAGTAGAAATAAATTTTCAAAAAATCATGGTTGATAATTCTAAGCTTGCGCCCCCCCCCTGAAGAAAATCCTGGATCCGCCACTGATTCAGATCCTGAATTATGTTCCTGTTTCCACAAAGACATTCCGGCTATGTGAGGCCGGCCTTAGTGCGCGTTCACTTGACACCGTTCGAGCGGTGAGCGTTGCGCGATGCCGCTGTAGTGATGCCCAAAAATAATTTTAACATTATATTTCAAATCAAGAAGTTCACACTGAGGCGGCGTGTCGCGCGGTGTTAACATGTTCCTTTGAAATATAATGTTAAAATTATTTTTGGGCATCACTACAGCGGCATCGCGCAACGCTCACCGCTCGAGCGGTGTCAATGTGAACGCGCACTTAATCTTGAACAAGTTATTTCCGTGACTACTAGAGTCCCCAACATTAGCTCAGCTTGACCTTCTTTATTGTGAAAATATCAGCTCATTTGGACCTAGGCAACCCGAAATGTCTTTCTGAATTCAGAAACAGAATTGAAGATCTGAATTCCGGCACATTGCCGCACACATATCTTAAAAATTCCATGACCAGTATACGCATAAAGTTTGCGGCATTTTTTGAGTGATGTTGGTTAAAAGGGAAGAATCAGAATCTGAATAGGGAACTTGCACATTAAATTAAATATGAAATAAATAATAAAATACAATAACAATCATCCTAATAAATGATGCAATTAGGAAAAGGACATAATATCTTATCTCTGGTTTCCAAAATCTTCAATTGAAAATACCAAATAATTCGAAATTCTTGACAAGATCAAAAACGTATTTGTATGGGTCCTGACGTCACAAGGCAGTAATAATCGGGTCGCACCACTGCCACGCCATGTGCTGCTGGTGTTGTCAATGTCAAATATATCATAAACGGCATACATAACAACATAACCATAATCTAAATCTACCTGCTCGAAGGTCACTGTCAACCAAGGACTGTGAACGGAATTTTGTTGCTGAGTGACGTCACACTAATCGGTCGTTTCAAATGGCGATGTTTCGAGCGTAACTTCAAATATTTATAAAAAATTAACGGCTGATTTTTAATGCTTGATATTTGGCATGACTATGTCTTTAGTGTAGTACAACACATTTTTGAAATTAAAAAAAAAATGTGCAAGTTCCCTATTGCGGCTGTGAATAAAAATATAAAATCTGTTTTTTTTTTTTAAAGATAAAAGTCAAACTGACATTATGTTGGCAATACAGTGTAAAATTGTCAATGCTTTCAAATTTTTTATGTAGAAAAGGCTTGTGTTGCCAACATAGTTACTAAATTTTTGACTTGGGGAATTATCTTTAAAAAAAAAAATTTAAAACATTGCGAAAAAGCGACATATGTAAAGAACGAGATTTAAAACAGCGACATTTACAACGGAGACCTCTAAGCGAAAAAGGGACACATCAAATTCAATCAATAATATTATTTAAAAAAATGCAGACTTACTGAAACTAACCCGTTCGCCTAGTGCGATCTAGTCCTCGTAAAGTAAATAAAATACTAAATTTTATTTAAAAAACAAGGCGCAGTCAAGGGGACGCTAAACGCTATAACTAAATTGATTATTTTTTTTAAATAAAATGCTAACTTATTAAAATCTGTTTTTTTTTTAAAGATAATTCCCCAAGTCAAAAATTTAGTAACTATGTTGGCAACACAAGCCTTTTCTACATGAAAAATTTGAAAGCATTGACAATTTTACATTGTATTGCCAACCTAATGTCAGTTTGACTTTTATCTTTAAAAAAAAACGCACTTTACGAGGACTAGATCGCACTTGGTTTGGGTTAGTTTGAGTGGGTAAAGTTGTTTTTTTTTTTAAAGATAATTCCCCAAGTCAAAAATTTAGTAACTATGTTGGCAACACAAGCCTTTTCTACATGAAAAATTTGAAAACCTTGACAATTTTACAGTGTATTGCCAACATAATGTCATTTTGACTTTTATCTTTAAAAAAAAACAGACTTCAATTAGGCAATTCAAACCACGTGACATTCAAGATGGCGTGGCGGCACACATGGGCCAAAAAAGACAAAAAAATATCTAGTTTCTGCCGGAATTAATAGTTCAGGTACCTAGTCAACAAATATTTTATTAAATAATGAAAATCAAAGTTGTAAGCAAAACTGTATGCAAAATAATTTAAAATAGGCATAAAAACATATCCAAAACAAACTTGCTTGGCCGCCACGTCACATTGAATTTTCCGTTTTGACAGATGGATTGAATTGCCTAATTGCATTTTCTTGATTATTATTGATTCAATTTGTTTGTCACTTATTTGTCACACACTAGTATAAAGCAAAAGTCAAAAGAAAATATTGGAGTTAGACCAAAAAATTTGATTGGTGACAAATAGAACTGATCTTAACGAAGAAGAGATGTTTCCATTGTAGAGTGCCTCAAAGCCTGTAATCAAAGGTATGCCCAGACAGAATAAGGTGGTACAACAACAAGCTTAACGTCAGCAGAGGATAAACGGAAGGACAGTTACAGACAAGTTTTTTGATATGTCGCTATTCTGTTTGATGTCACCGTTTTAAATGTCGCTCTTCTGATAAGCTGCTGTTCTGTTCAGTTGTCACTGTTTTAATATGTCGTTTTTTCGATATGTCGCTGTTTTGCTTAGATGTCGCCGTTTCAGATGTCGCTGTTTTATTGATATGTCGCTCTTTTTAAATGTCGCTGTTTTGAATGTCGCTGTTATGATATGTCGCTCTTTTGAATATATCGCTGAAATGAGACCGCCATTTTGAATATCGAGGCTTTGAATATGGCCCTTTTGAATGTGCCGGACATCCTGAATTCAGAAAATCATTTCACTCATTTCAGCAGCTGTGAGGCCGGCCTTATAGTTCCTGAGAAAAAATCGCGTTAAGGAATTTCCGATGAATTTTTGGATTTTTCAATTTTCCTGAGTTGATTTTAAGTATTTGAAATTTGACCATTTTGGAAGGAAGACCTCTTTGGACATGGATTTTCAAAAACTTTGAGAAATCATACCTAACTCAACAGTTTATTTTTTCCCAAAATAGATTTCGACATTGCCAACTTTGAAACATAAACAATGCCGCCTATTGGTCGCAAGATGGCATTTGCACGACATGCATTGTAAAACTGATGTCAACCTGCAGGCAGGGACACCTGTTTTTGCGACCAATCAGGGCCAAGCGGTATTGTTTATGTTTCAAAGTTGACAATGTCAAAATCTATCTTGGGAAAAAATAAACCATAGATAGAAAGCTGAACTTTTCAGCGATTCTTATCCTAGTAGACTTGGTCAATGTTAAAAACAAAAGTAAATGCAACATGTTTTAATGTTATGTTTGGTTCAAAGATGACACTGATGTTCTGTGACACTGACTTGACTCTTTTTGTCATTTTTGAAATGATAAAAAAGGTCGATTTACACAATACCACGCACACAATAGGAAATGGCCTACCAGTTTTATGATTGGCCAAGTGTACAGTTCCTGAAAAAAAATCGCGTTAAAGAATTTGGGATGAATTTTTGGAGTTTTCAATATTTCCACTGCCATTCTTTTGAACATTCGTGCTATTCAAATCCCACGATAAATCATTCATTGGATGGAGTTTCTGGGGTTCCGATGTACTTTTCTCACGCTTAGGAGCGTGTGAAAAGTACCTACTTTTCGCACGCTCTTCCAAATAATTGATTTTTCAGGGAAGTTAATAAAAAAAATAGTAATGCGTTTTAGAGTCTAGGTTTTAGCGCAAAGCACTCCTAAAAGTAATTCCTTTCTTATTTGCTTGTTTATGTATCCATTGAAAAAGCAACAAATTCGGTAATATGTTTATAAGCTCCTAAATCCTGAAGTAAAAGCAATCAAGCATAACCATAACCGAAAATTACCTTTTTCTACTGACGTTTCATAATAGCAACTTTTCGATTGTCATTTCAGTTTTGAAACGACATTCTTTTAGGCACTGAGTGCGTGAAAGTTACTTTTAGGCACTCAGTGCGTAAAAGTGACTTTTGAATGCGTAAAAGTGACTTATGAGTGCGTAAAAGTAATTTTTAAGCACTAGTGCCTAAAAGTGTCATTCATTATTCAGAAATAAAAAACACACTAAACACATATTTGAATTTTGTTTTGTATTTATTATGAATATTGAAAATGGAATTACTGAATTGAACGTTTGGGTTACTCAAAACAGAACTTTGTGTTATTACCTACTTTCTAGGATTTTAATTATTGATGTCGAATTTTGAAAAGAAAATCGCATGAAAAGTGTCAGGTGTCAAGTAAAAGCAGGTAACAAAGATTTTGGGTGTAATCGACTTATTCACATGAAATAAAATTGTGTTTTTTTATTATAAAATGCCAGTAGAAAAAATCTTGTATACAATACGTTACGAAACGATGTCTTTTAGTCACTCGACGTGTTGTCCAACTCGGCTTTGCCTCGTTGGACAATTTTCACGTCGCGTGCCTAAAAGACGCTCATTTCGTAACTTATTGTATAAATAACTATTATACAATAAGTTACGAAATGAGCGTCTTTTAGGCACGCGACGTGAAAATTGTCCAACGAGGCAAAGCCGAGTTGGACAACACGTCGAGTGACTAAAAGACATCGTTTCGTAACGTATTGTATACAAGATTTTTTCTACTGGCATTTTATAATAAAAAAACACAATTTTATTTCATGTGAATAAGTCGATTACACCCAAAATCTTTGTTACCTGCTTTTACTTGACACCTGACACTTTTCATGCGATTTTCTTTTCAAAATTCGACATCAATAATTAAAATCCTAGAAAGTAGGTAATAACACAAAGTTCTGTTTTGAGTAACCCAAACGTTCAATTCAGTAATTCCATTTTCAATATTCATAATAAATACAAAACAAAATTCAAATATGTGTTTAGTGTGTTTTTTATTTCTGAATAATGAATGACACTTTTAGGCACTAGTGCTTAAAAATTACTTTTACGCACTCATAAGTCACTTTTACGCATTCAAAAGTCACTTTTACGCACGGAGTGCCTAAAAGTAACTTTCAGGCACTCAGTGCCTAAAAGAATGTCGTTTCAAAACTGAAATGACAATCGAAAAGTTGCTATTATGAAACGTCAGTAGAAAAATAGCTATTTCTACATTTGAAATCGACGAAAAAATTAACTCACTAGCACAGCCTGAATCGCGATCATTCCATCGAGGTCTGCGGGTGACGTCATCACTAGAAGTTCCTGATAGTGACGTCATTCGCACGCCTAAAATTTGATGGGGAGGGAGTTAGGGGAGTATGAATGACACAATTGACACATCACATCACCCATCACCCAATCATTATCATCTTTCTTTGCGTTCGGTATTGACGGTATTTTGCTCAAAGTGCTGAGTGTGCAGAGCAAAGCCGTAATCACGTGACCAGAGAGCGAACAGGTAGTTAAACGCTGTATCCGAGCATCCGAAATTTTAATAAACGAACGCAAATGAGCCTGAATCAAGTACACTTTTCAAATAAACGAACGGTAAATTGAAGCTCAGAGAACAGATCAAAATACCGAACGCATAGTTGATTATCTTTTTTGAGCAGAGAAAATAGAACCGTGAGTGTTTTCATCCAATAATCAATCGTGACGCTTTCGCTTTTACCCCAAAAATAAGTGTAAATCGACCCTAAGGTGTACTCAAATAAAAGTACCGAATCACGATGACAGATGGCGCCACCGTCAAATTTATTTTTATTCACGACTTAAATTTTATTTGACACTATAGACAATTAACTTGACATTATCGGCAACCCACTTTTTCCTCCCACCTTTTTCAAAAAAGAGGTTATTAACATTTTTGAGGAAATAAACAGTTACACCTAAACAATTTAGTTTCACGTTTTTTTTTTTCGCGTTCGTGCAATGTCTTTTTCGCTGTCGCGGCGCGCCGCTCCTTGATATCAGTCCAACAGATAAGTTTCCAGTGCCTTTTCGCCACTCACCCCTGTGACAGCTGTGCTAGGCGGTACCTTACCCCAGATAACAAACAACTACAATTTCGTTATACAATTAGTGGACTTTTAATTATGACTAAAATTTGTTGAAAAACGGACAAAGTTCGCAAACAACCATGTCCAAGAATAATTTGATAAGTTCCAGAAGCATTTCGCCAGCTAGTTTCAATTCGTTGCGGTCGGATTCGGAGAAGTCTTTCGAAAACGGTTTGGACGATTCTTTGAAACCTAAACACAGGCCTTCGTCTACAAACAGAACTTCTAAAGCTAAAAGAGTCAGGTTCGTATTTTTTTTTTATTATTATTTTAATACCGTACAAGGTACAGGTATCAAATTACATTATTCTTATATTTCCTTATATGCTTGGCCAATTTGTATAACTACTATGTTAACTTTGTTTTACATTGTATGTACACATTATAAACCTGTATGTGCAGTTTCCGAAATTATTAGTTGCTTTGACATTATTCAATAATTACAGAATCCTATGGTAAAACTAAACAACTATAAGTTAAGTACGATATAGAAGCTTTCTCGTACCTAACTTCTATTAATGCCTTCCTTGTATCATTAGCCGCTGCGTTAGCCTAATTTAGACAACTAATTAATTTAAAAGGGAAATACCTATTTGAATTTCAGGAAAGCCTAATTATGTAGCAGATAATTAGTTCAATTTTCTATTTACTTTTTTGCGTGCTATTTTGTTAGAATTAACATCAACAATAAAATTAAAGTCACGAATGAATGACTAAATCATGATTGTTTTGGAAAGTTGTTTCCTCGGTTATTTCGAGGGTTATTCCTTATAAATTATACAACAAAGTACACAAAAATAAAAATGAATAGACTATATTGTAGGTATTCCTAATCCTTGCTCATACCTCTGATCTAAAGGCATTAGATAATAATTAATAGTTATTTATGTATCAAGGGTACTAAGTAGATGATTATGCCCTGAGGGCGACAGTCTTACAAAGCCGAGGGCCTCTGGCCCGAGGGTTCGTAAGTCGCCCGAGGGTATATATATATCTATTAGTACCCGTGGTGCATACAAACTTTTTTTTACTACTAACCTGAGAAATTGTCATTATTCAATATATTTTCCTAGGAAAAAATTGAATTTCTCTCCCTAGGTGAATAATGAAAATAATGAAAAAATACCTAGGTTAATAATGAAAATGACGTCATGACGCAAGGATATTGTCATGTTTCTATTGGTTCAATTTCATTTTCATAGGCCAATTTGAAAAAAAATACAGGTTTCTGTAGGTACATAGGAAGTTATCATAAGCTGTTCATAGAGGGCAACACTTTCAAGAGGGCGTTCAAAAAAAAATAATTGGAGCACAGATTTTAAACAAATTTTTCATTTTTTACTAGCAGTAGTAAAAAAAATTCTATATATTCCTCGGTAGAGAAAGTCATTATATACCTCACTCATTATAAACCTCGGCGCTAGCGCCTCGGTTTATAAAAGCGCTCGGTATATAAGGACCAACTTCTCTACCTAGGTATATAATATACTATTATGTCATACCAGTTGGTTGTGAATAATAAATACCTGGGAAAAAAGTGTCACTTTGCAAATTGTCATCAGTATCAGTGTGCAAACATTATTATTTTTTGACAAAAATAATATGCTGAATAATATGTTTATAAGCGTAAACTTATATTTTTTTAATAAATAATAAGTTAATTGAAAACTGTTTTTTGCGTCTTTATGCCCGCGCGGGCCATAATGTGTACTTTATGCCCGCACGGGCATAAAGTAATGAATTACGTAGATGGTATCTAAGGTATAAAAACACAATAATGTATTGGTATGACATAAAAATAATTACTAAGCACCTTTTTTCACATAGCAACTGGGGTAGTTGCAAGCAATTATTATTTGTAGCCTCTATATAATTGGAATTGGACTTAAGTATCACCCTTTGGGATAAGTAAATTGAAATAAATTGGAAATAATTTAATTTACTAGTGTGCGAGTATAAATCATAATATGAAAAAGCTGATTTTTTGTTTTATCAAATATTTCGTCTCGTATTTTGTTATTAATAACATCAATGATTGAGCCAATGATGGTCCATTTCAATCATTTTATACTGAGTTTTATGCTGGATTTCATAGCATTGGTTTCGTAATTTTAATCTATTATTAGGTAGGTACTTAGTTTATTTTTGACTGATCTAAGAAACAATAAAACTTTATGAGTTTTGGCTTTGATTTATGAGTCATTTACCTTATTATGTTTAGAATACACTAGAGAATACATACTCAAATTTTAAAACATTTCCTGGAACATTTCATTTCAATAACAATCGAGAGTTAACCATCAATAAAAAATCTAAAAATAATTTACAACCTTGTATAAGTCAATTCTCGAGTCAATTATCATTTATTTACAATCATGGATCAAAAAACCTTAGGAGTACTTACTAAATAGGATTTTCTCTAGGTAGTAGGGTACTTGCACAAATTTTTATTTGAAAATTTCTATCATATTTTTGTGGGAAACAATATCGAAAAGGCCGAGGAAAAGGCACTCACCAAATATTAAGTTTTATAAATTATTATTTTCTGAACAGAAATAGGGAATTTTCATATTTCTCAAATTATTTTTTTTTAGATACTTCTAGTCATCAGTTATCACATAATTTTCTTTTTTTCCATTTTAATTTATACGTTGTATGAAAAAAAATTTATTGAAATTCAAATGAAATACTTTGGCGCGAAAACAGGAAATTTCAATTTGACAGCGCTTGTGACGTTGAGATTTTGTAAACATAAAATACGCAGCAAACGAACTCTTGCTGATGCAGTGCTATTTTTGTGTTATTCAAGTGTGTTAAAGTTTGCTTTTTGTGAAAATTGTCGCAATGGATGAAGAATATTGTGAAGGACTGCTTTTGTATTTTTTTTACGTGCAAATTCCCTATCACAGATTTCCCTATTGACGGGTTTGTTTACAGAATCGTGACGTCAAAACAGGTATTCATCATAGGAGCATTTTTTTGGCGGGAAAATTTTTATTTCAAAAATATTATTTTTTGTGTAACAAGGGCGGTATCAGTTAAATAAAAACTGGTCGTATGAATATTGTGCAGCATAAACTATCGATTTAAAACAAATTTGGAAAATTTTACTTCACTTGCAAGTTCCCTATTCAAAATTGAAAATCATCATCATTTTAAATTTTCAGAAATGATTGATTGGTTTACACAAGGAGTAAACCACCATCCCAGAATTTGTGCAAACAATTCCTCAAAGAGGAACTTTTTACGCAAAAAGGTCCATGCTCACTTGTGCTTCACTCAGCTCGGCGACGCGACACGACGCCGCACTGCAAATTGTCGCTAGATAAATATTTTATTGGTTTAAATGCAACGCGTCGTAAAGTGTAGTGCAGAGTAGGTGGGAATCTGTTCATTTAAACCAATGAAATATTTATCTAGTGACAATTTGCAGTGCGGCGTCGTGTCGTGTCGCGTCGCCGAGCTGAGTGAAGAGTAAATGAGAATTGACCTTAATTCCTCAAAATTCCTGCAAATTCCTCCAAATTCCCCACAAATTCGTCCAGATACCCCATCACAAGTTCCTCCAAATACACCACCATAAATTTCTACAAATACCCCACAAATTCCTCTAAATTTCCTGCAAATTCCTCCAAACTGCTCTCAAAATTCCCACAAATGTCTCTTACAAATTCCCTAAAAGTCCCCATAATTGCTAGTGATAAGAAATTGGTTTTTCCTCAGTGGAATAAAAAACTATAGAGTGAGCATAGCAATCATAAATACGTTATTGTTTGTATGCCATTGACAACGCCCATTCTAAGCCGAAATTTCCTTAAATTTAGGGAAAAATGTATTTTTTCTAAAGGATTTCAAGGCCGCTTTGTTGGAAAGCTTTCCACCTGCTTTACCTCACCTAAGTGATCATAGGCGTGCGGAAGGAAGGTTAAATGGTGAAAATGTTTCTATTTAGTGACAAAAATTAAGCAAAAAAAAAAAAATGTTCTGCTTCTTTAGCAGAAACATGAAAACAAAACAGATTCTGGGGAACTTTTGATCAATAAATCTTTTTGATACATAGAGATGTAAAAAAACGGTTTTTTTTCAGATTTGAAAAAAAACATTGAAAAAAAACCAGAAAAAAAACGGTTTTTTTTGTTTTTTTTCTAAATGATTCAAATGTAAAAAAGCAGGTTTTTTTCAGATTTGAAAAAAAAAACATGAAAAAAAACTAGAAAAAAAACAAGTTTTTTTTTTTTCAAAATAATTCAATTTTAAACTTCGTGAGTATCTCCAACCTCATCTTTAAGTAAAAAAAAAACGGACATTTGATGACCCTGGATGCGTAGTTACAATCTGAAAATTCTTCATACAGCAAAAGTGTCTTATATCAGAGTGATGTTCTGTTCTAGTATGTATGTTGTATGAATATGATGAATGTATGATCTGATATAATATGATAGTTCATACATGGATGTACCATTTACTTGACCTGAAAACATGTTTCATTTACATAAGAATAGGTCTGTTTCTGCAGAAATCACAAACCAGTCAGACTGAATTTCATTGGTTGAAACTAGTTCTCTGACTGTTTCTACTGTTTTCAACCAATGAAATTCGCTCTGACTGGTTTGTGATTTCTGCAGAAACAGACCCAATATTGTTCCTATGTAAGACAATATTTTACGTTTTATCCATATTTCACTGCTTAAACCAATTTTTTGTCCCAAGAAAAGTTTAATTGGCAAAAAAAGTAAAAACTGCGCATATGGTGCTAAGTTTAGAAAAAAAACACAAAATCTGAAAAAAAACCATTTGAAAAAAAACCATGAAAAAAAACTTGAAAAAAAAACAAAAAAAACGGATTGTTTTTTTTCACGTTACATCTCTAGATACAGATCTTAGGAATTAGGTCTACTATCTAAAATGAAATAAATAAAGCAGTGTTAGATCAATCAAATTCATGTTACATTACAAAATAATACAAAAAAAGGGTCCCTACGTCTGGCTATGAGACTACATTCTTCAATATTTGTTCCTCAGTTTCTGAACCTGTTGAGTTAGTTGATGAGGACTGGGAGAGCACTGTCAGGCATTTGAAAGTAATCGGAGCATCAAAAATTCTAAAAATAAAAAATTATAACGGAGCAATCCCTTGTTTCAAGAAGTAGGTAGGCGCATATATAATTACCATTGACTCTTTTTTTATCTCAAAACCGAATAAAATCCTATGTAGCATCCTATACACAGATGAAAAATACGAAC